AGCAGGAATCGTGGCCTTCTTGCACCTCCGAACCTTCACAGGGGAAGACGTGCGGTCGTTCCGATTAACGTCTTGCACAAAAGCGCGGGTATTCTTCACAAGCGACTCCTAATCTACGTGTAGAAGCACGCCGCATCTGCGTCCGTCCATCTGTAAGATTTTCTCCCTTGCTCTCGCAACACGCTGTGCAAAACAGAGTACGCGGCTATCATAAGAGGCAAATATTTCTTATCTGCCCCCCAGCTTTGCTATCAGGCATCCGCTGGCTTTCTGCAGCTACTCAGGTTATAGTTAAAAAAAAAAAAAAGCTGCTTTCTGTGTTGCCAGCATACAATAATAACAGGCTTCCTAAGCCAAGCAAGCAGAGGGTAAGATGGATCTGAGACCAGCTCTTGTGGCTTTAAGCATTGCCAAGATATTTGCCACCTTGCCTGGTCCTTGCCTGATCGGTATTAGGCATGTCTGCAACTGCCAAATCCCGCGGGCTTCGTTTCTAAGCAGAGGCCCTAAACGAGGCAGTGATTTCAGCTGGCTTGCATTCCAGCCTGGAGCCAGGGAGTTGTGCCCTTCCGCTGGGTGCCCCCTCACAAGCTCCTGTGACAGATGTGGGGAGCTTAGCACAAAAATAGAGTGGAAGCATAATGAGGAAAACCTGTGACGTGCCACCCGAAGCATGCCTTCTAAGGGAGAAATGCTGCAGCAGGCCTCAGCGATGGGATTGAAACGGCTCAAGATCATCTTGACGAGCCAAGCCTTATCTCATTAAAGTCCTGCTTCTGGCAAGAACTGAAAGGCAGGGAATATGCACTGGCGGAGAGGGCTGTGAGCTGGAGAAGGAAGCAGCAGGTGGGAGCCAGAAACGCTTAGTTGTCTTATCCTCCCCAGGAGACCTGCATTTTCACCTCCCCGTGCCTGTTTCTCCACCCCTAAAGCAGACGTGACAGTTGCCCGTGTCAAAGGACTTGAGGATGGCTCGGTCTGGTCATATTAAAGCACTTTGAAAATGCAAAGCAGTGCCTGAGCATCACGGGTTACTTCTGAATAACTGAACAGAGTAGCAACGGCGTCCCCCAGGAGCCGAGAGCCCTCACGACAGCACCGGCTCCGGCGGGCAGCGCCGATCAGAGGCAGGTGGCATGTGGGGACAACAGGGAACCGGAGCTGTCCTGCATTTCCAGTGCTGTGGGGTGGTCCTCAGCCTGGCGGCGTTGCTCTGCAGTGGCCTCAGGCTGCAGGACTGCGTAACCACGGGTCCGCTCCATCCGAGCTGAGGAAAGCATCCTCCACGGGATGAAGTGCAGTGTGGTGCTTTGAGTGCACCTTTCTGTGTATATTTTGGGGTGCCTCCCTTCCTCCCTTGTCTTTGCAACCCCACGAGGAGGCATCGGGCACGTGAACAGCAGGAGAAAGCAGGCAGGGTTGTCAGTGCTGAGAGATGGCAAACACATGGTGATTTATAGGGAACAAGTCAGCAGAGCATGGAGCCTGACAGCCTTGCTGGCACGTTCAGCGGGGTTTGAAGCCTGTGCTGCTTGGCCCGCTGGCGAAGTGCAGCCTGTACCGGTTAGATGTGCTTCGTTTGGATATTTACTGCTCTCTTCTGTGAAATCCTCGTCAGCGTGCGGTGGGAACGAGAGGCCGCCTGGACCTGCCAGCATTGTTCTCGGGGACAGCGTCGTTTCGTCGCAACGCCGGGCAGGTGCATCGGTCGTGACCGCATTGAAACGCAACCTCCTTGTTGGGATTAAGCTGGCAACAAGGTTGTGTCGCTGGCTTTGAGGGGCCCAAACTCGCCGCAAACGGGACAGCCCATGGCAGGGGTGATGCTCCTTTTCTGTCCTGCCGTGGCTCAGGTGTGCCCTGATGGAAACGTGGCTGTGTTGCATAGAAACCAAGGGCCTCGTTCTCCCCCTGTGCTGGATGGGAACGCGGTTGAGAGGTGCCAGCCCATGGCTCGAGCGATGCACCCGCACTCCCCTAATGTGACAAGGGAAGCGAGTGTGAAGCTCCGGCGTTCCTCCGGCGCCCTTTGAAATGCAGTGGAAAACCAGCCATCTCTGCTTGCACTGCACTTCCCGCCGGGGAGCTGGGAGCCGCCTTGATGTGCTGCCTTCTCCAGCTGTAGATGACTAAATGCAGCCTGGCTGTGTGGGCTGTCTGCAGTTGGGCCAGAATATTCCTGCTATCTCTTCCCATAAACACTGCAGCCTTTGTCTTCTGCCTTATCATGCTTTGGCCATAACAGAGACGTTACTGTGCTTTCTCCAGAGAAAGTCCTCTCTGTACTTCAAGGGGTCTTTTCAGCCTGCTCATCATTCCCCCCCACCACAGTGCTTATTGTGCTGGCGGCAGGGCGGGTGTGCGGGGAAGAAAGGAGAAGATGCCCCTGGTTGTGGGGGTTTCATAAATGTATTGCATTCCCTGGAGAGCTGCTGAGCAAACACTGTGTGGGCAACCTTAACTCTTCAGCGCCCCGATCTTCATTGGGGCTTTCTCAGTCCCGGGAGAATCTGGGATCTACTCGTTGTGTAACACGGGAGCCAGAAAATCATGCAGCAGCTGAGTTTTAGGGTCTCCCCTTGGCACTAGTAGCCCTTCGCATGTGTAGGAGCTTCACGTGCGTCATCCAGAGCAAGGCTTCCAAATCCTGCAAAACTGAATTTCTTCCAGTGCTGGGCTAGGATATTTACAGTGCGAAAAGTTCTGGGTGAATTCCCCATGTTGTTTTCTGCATTGCTGTGAAGCTGCAGAGACAGCATTTTCCTTGTTTGCCTTTCCAGTGGTAAGACTTTCTCTAGTCCAGAAACCCTTTGTCACCAACTCTGTATGAGGAGCCAGCTCCCTTGCTGGGGACACGTTGTCTAGCTGTCAGGTCAAGATGTTCTCCAATAAGCACAGGACAACATGCAAGCATATAACTGGAATGATGTGATTTTAAGATACCATCCCATGAACTTTGAAAGATGGAGGGAACTTCCATCTCTTAGTGGAAAGCAGGGATTCCCGGCTTTCCGGTGAGGCGTGCCTTTGGTTTCTATCTTAGATGGCTCACAGGGTCACATGCCTTGAAATAATTGCTGCTTCCAACCAAAAAAAAATACAAGCCATTTCCCAATAAACCCAAGATGCTTTCTGTGTTGCAAGCAGCTCTCTGATCCATCTGCCCTTCGTAGAAGTCGCATGAACCATTGCTCCATTGGGCACGCTGGGAAGCAGTGCTAACCAGGTGGATTTGGGGCCCGTGAGTAACATAAGTTGCACCTTCCAAGCAGATTTTGAATGATTTCTTTGAACAAAAACCTGTCCCTGCCCATTATCCATATCTACCTGTTCATTTTCAGTTAATTTTCTTTCTCATTAAAACTCTCCAGTAGTGATTAAAATGCAAATATGCTAATTTTGTACGCGCTGTTAAAACCCATTTTGATAAAGCCAACAGCCTGTCCTTGGTTAGTGGGCTTTCTTTTAGGAACCGTTAGTCGGTTTTTAATTAAGCATCTCAATGCAATTAGCATAATGTAATTAAAATAATCAAAGACTCCATTGTTTTTGTCATATGATTAATATCGTGGCATTTGGGGTTGCACTTTAAAAATGCTGTAGATTATGCTTCCCATTGCACATCAGGCTAGGCTGGTAGGATCTTCTTCTTTCTGGGGGAAGGGAGGAATACCAAATAAGTACAAGTGTCCGTCGAGTAGAAATCCAGATCTTTGGCCAGGTGTGAAGCTATTCAGACACCCAGGTGTTTTCTCCTGCTGGCTCTTGGCCATAGCTCTGTTGTTGTGGATCACATAGATGCTGACTTGTCTGGCATATGAGTTAATTTGTCTCCTCTCTTCTGTCTTTGTTGCTTCAAGGAGCTGTTTCATCAGCCAAGCGCACGGGGATTCCAGCTCCTCGGGAAACCCCATCCACCGTCTCCAGAGAGAGAGCAGTGTTGCGTGGACCAGCTAACACTCGGAAAACTCAGCCCAGCCCGACTTCTAGCGGCACGCCTACGCCTACCAAACACCTGCGCCCCTCGGCCAAGTCCAAGCAAGACAATGAAACCGGGGAGAAGGCCGTTCTGGAGTCCCAGGTTAAGGAGCTCCTGGCAGAAGCAAAGACGAAAGACTCGGAGATTACCAAACTCCGGAGCGAGCTGAAGAAATGCAAGGACAAAGGCTCACCCAACACCGAAGGGATCAATGCGTTAGATCAAAACTTAGACGCGTCGCCACTGTCACCTGGTGACATGGACCCGCTAATACAGACCCTTCAGGAAAAAAACAGGACTTTTCAAAAAGAGCTTGCTAGCCTGGGGGAAGAAAACCGCGTTCTGAAAGAGAAGCTGCTTTATCTGGAGAACTCCCCTCTCTCGGACACGACGGCGAGCAGCGGAGGTGACAGCAGTCTCCCAACCCCGACCACCCAAGAGTCGAGTTTTGGAAGCCCGACAAAAAGCCTAGTAAGAGGTGAACCGGATGAGGCCAGGCATCGTGCAAACGGAGGAGCTTTACGCAACTCGGGGTCTTCTAGCAGTGACGTGACCAAAGCCTCCTTGTCGCCCAATGCATCCGATTTTGAACATATAGCAGATATACCCTCTAGGCCAGTGTCCTCAAACAGCAACCCCTTCAAGGGTTCCAGGTGCTCCACCTCAGGGAGTTCTCCAAATAACGTCAGCGACCTTTCCGTGGCTTCGCTGACGGAGAGGATACAGAAAATGGAAGAGAACCATCACAGCACCGCAGAAGAGCTGCAAGCCACTTTGCAAGAGCTGTCCGACCAGCAGCAAATGGTGCAGGAGCTGACGGCAGAAAACGAGAAGCTGGTGGAAGAGAAGGCTCTACTGGAGAACTCCTTCCACCAGCACAGAGAGAGAACAGAGCAGCTGAGTCAAGAAAACGAAAAGCTCATGTCTCTCCTCCAAGAGCGAACCAAGAACGAAGAAACCAAAGCGCAGGAGGGGAAGGTCCTGGAGCTGGAGCAGAAATGCACAGAGCTGCTCGAGAAAGCACAGTTTGAACGAGAGAAGCTGCTCAACATCCAGCAACAGTTAACCGGTAGCTTGCGGAGCTTAGAACGAGAACACCAAGATGCCCAGGAGGCGATCAAGGGCCTGGGAGAGGAAAACGAGAAGCTGGGTAGGCTTCTCGAAACAGAACGGCAGAGCAACAGCATGGTGATGAAGACTCTGGAGGACTGTAAAATCGCCTTAGAAGGCCTGAAGATTGAGAACGGGTCCCTCAAAACTCAGCTAGAGAGTGAGAAGCAGAAGGCTGCGGAGATGAGCGCGGTAGGATGCACTACTGACAACTCGGAGGTGCAGGAGATGTTGAAAGTGGCCCATGCAGAGAAGGATCAGTTGGAGCTGGCTTGCACCGAGCTCAAGCAAGAACTGTTGAAGGCAAGCAGCGAGGTGAAACAGGCCCAGGGGCTGCTGGCCAAGGTAAGGCAAGAAGAGCACTACACTTTTACACTGCCTGCCCTCCTTCCCTGCACCAAGCAGGTGTCTTCAGGCACCAAACACCAGTACTAAAGTAGAGGCGAATGAATAATCTCTAGTGAGCGATCAAGTCTATGAACTTTGCCTTCTTTTCTGGTGACAAATGATCTGCAGATGATTTTAGGGGCTTTAAAAACGTATTGCCTATTCAGAATTTGCCAGCTGAGTGATCCCTCCTCGCTAGGTTGTTTGTGAGCAATTCATGGTATTCAAGATTTGGTATTTGAGAGAGGTGACTTAGTTTTGATGGCATGCACAGATCACGTGATATTGCTTATTCAGAAAACAGAAACACGTATAAACTCCTAGAATAGTTTTTGACATAAATAGTTGTTTTTACAGATACAACATTTTCTTTCTGTAGTATCTGGCTTAAAATTCACTGTTTTCGCATCGATTCCTGCTAGCAAATGCATTTACAAGA